TCTACATCCATTGATCACACTATTCCGCCACGTCTGGGATAATGGACTTTTTCAGCATTTTGGGTTCGTCAATCACAGTGAACAAACATGTACAAGCAAACAAAGACTATTAAGTGTAGGAATGAAGGGACAACACGGCAAATGGAGTAAGATACGCTGGTCTAAATGCCGACTGTCGTCAAAACTGATGATTTGATCGCTAGTGTTAGTGCAAGTTTTGTTTCACGTGTCAACTTTAAGTTTTTTCTCAGTGTAAATGTTTCGAAACCAACATTGTGAACCGCAGTGATTTCTAATAGCGAACAGAAAGAAACGTCGATCTTGGTTTAACATCCGATCCTTGTTTCTTTTCCAAGTTCACCACATTTCCTCCACTGGGTAAATCAGGTCAATAAACTAGTTTACTGCCTGCCTAATCCCCCCTGTTTCACTTTTTTCAGTTCCGCGCTCATACTGACGATAAGGCACCGCTGATTGCTGTATCCTTCGTACCTAGCTGGCCTCTTGCCTCTGGAATAACTTGTTTCTCCGTCGATATCTCCACCTCGACACCTAAATTCTGTTAAGTTCTTCTAAAACGAATTTATTTATTTCACGTTTATCAATGAACATCTTTCCCGTGAATGGTTCAACGACGCCTGTTAGACTGTTTGTAAAAGAAAGCAGCTCCCCGTCGCTTGAAGCGCTCATCACCACCCACCCACCCACTCCCACCAATAAACACAAAACTGAGCCGCTACACAAAGTTAAGGAGCGATCCGTCGGGCGCAAAACAATAGAGCTATTGACCAATCCTCCGAACGTTCTGGTCACTGGCCAATACAGTTTCCCTTAATTTCTATTTACCTAATTTTTCATTGTCAACTCATCCGATGATTTAGTGCTAACCACTTGAAAAAGTCAGTCTATGCCTCCCGATTTGTTGCCAACTCCACACTACCCGTTTCATCCATCTAACTGTCCACACCTTACAACAGAACATCTCACCACACAACGCATTTCCATCATAAGGATAGGTCAAGTGGTCTCATGAATAGATCATCTTCAGCCACCGGGACCCGACGGGATTCCCTCCATCATCCTCGAAATGTGCGTCCACGAACAGGACCCTTCTTCCATGTCATTTACTCTGTCTATGCCTCAAGTTCGGGGTATTCTCAACTCCTGAGAAAACACCACACATTTCCCATTCCAAAACGCGATGACGATCGCACATCGAGTATCACTCATCTTAAGGGTTATGGAAATAATCACTGCTCCTCGACTCCGCCGCCGCCGGGAGTAGAACGTGCTTAATGACCGTCAGTATGGTTTCCGGTCCCCTAAATCAACTAACCATCTTCGGGAATTCATCCCATAAACATGGTTAGCAGCATTCAACGGCTACGGAGAAACCCTGGTATTAGCGGACATAACGAAAGCTTTTGATCGCGTCCGGCTCCCAGGTCTGCTAGCTAAACTGCTCTAATTTGGCTTCCTCTGGGAACTTCTATTCTGCACAACAAGTTATTTCAACGATCGTACCATCTCCGCTTCAGTTGACGGACCAAACCTCTGTGCTTGTGAGTGTCTATATCCTCCATGGCTCTGTACTTCCACCCATACATTTCCAGTCATCGAAAACCTCGCCTCGATCTTAAATTATGATCACCCCTGCGCTGATGACATTCAATACTCTTCTTTGCCTATTTCTCTGCTCCTTCTTTAATATCGCCCTTTGGCGGTGGTGACCAAGTGATTAGGTCACCAACTAGTGACCTGGGTGTCCCGGGTACAAACCGCTCCACCGCCGCCCGTCTTCCCTAGGCAGCCTTTGTATGGCCGCAGCCCCCTTCCTGAAAGTTGACTGTACATTTATATTCAACAAATAGAAAAAGGAAGTAAAAAGACATTTCATTTTATTTTTAATTCTGAGCTTAGAGTTATCTCAGTCGTGTCCTAATTAACGTTGGTAAAAATCTCTCATATCTACTTTTCTGAAATATGAAACACGCGCTGAAGGCAAAATGGGCTTTCTTCCGCGCCAGACGATTCTTTTCCCCTAATTACCATCATGATTGTAACAGCTAACTTGCAGTCACGAGCTCAGCAGTTGCTTCCTTATTGAAGGTTTCATACACAAGCGGCTAGTCACCCACACTGCGGGGCTATCCCCAGATGTCGCGTCTCACACTTTCAGTTATCATTTCATCCAAAAACAGCAAAACTGTGGAACACTCCTCCCTTGGGTTTTCTCTTCAACTTATTACATCCTTACTTTCAAATGCCGAACTAAAAAATGGTTCGAGCTCTGCCATGTACAGTATATACTCTGATTCCGGAGGCTGTTTGTCATGTTATTTACTTTTATATCAAAATCAAACCGGAAATTACTACCGGAATTGGAAAGGTGTGGGTGTGGGTGTGGTCCGTGATCCTCTTCTTGGCAAACTTGGAATCGCAGTTTTGTTACAAACCCCCATAATTCAACTGCCCCTGGTTCACCGAGGCAGTTATAACCCTGTGTCAACTCTTCGTTCTTTCACTCTGGTGAGGAAGAACGGTACGTAAGGGCAGTGATTAGGGATTCTCCAGCAGAGGCTACTTGAGATGCATAGAAGCATTCGCAAGGTTCAAAGGAAATATGACGTCACAATCCTAGAGAACCCACCCCTGAACATACAGGTGTTTTCAAATAACTTAAGCACAAAAAATAGCGAGTGATTCAAGGTGGTCACTAGCAGCTTGTGAGAATATACCGGATGATACAAAGTTGAATACTTTAAAGGAACTCTCGGAGTGCAAATCACCAGACGTAAAATTCCGTTGATTATTGCGAACCAAATGAAACCTATCAGCCGTTCATGGAATTTGTTTTCTGGAAAACATATCAGTGAAACGAGTACAATGAGAAAATATCAAAAAAAAACCATAGGCCATCTGCGTTTATTGTGCACAGCAGGTCCATGGTCCTGGTTTCTTTGGTTTCAATCAAAGTTCGACTCACGATCTGTCACCTTTGCAACGTAACGCTACTATAAACTTTCAAATGGTGCCCAACCATATATATATATATATATATATATATGTATGTATATTCACGTAGGGCTGAATCCAGACTGTGCCAAACAAATCATGGTACAATGATTGTTGAGAGAAAAAAGACGTTCCATGATTTCCATGTGGGCGGAATACTGCCATGTTGCCCAGGTTGGCACCGAACCGATAAGAACCAAAGTACTTGAAAGACATTTAAAGATATACTTGTAGACACCGCGAACTCAGACGATCGTCCGATAAATAACATAGATTGATAGCTGCAAGATTATGCTTTAACTTGAAAATGCTGGAAAATATTAAGCTAGAAGTGGATGGTTATTTCAAGGCTTCAAATGAGTAAATACCATTTGTCTCAATCGCTCCTGTAACCCTACCTTTAATTGTTCCGAGTTCTCTACCGAACTACGTATAGAAGTAATTACGCTGATGAGGAGTGAACCAAAAAGGTATCAACCGCGGTCCGAGGGTAGTACACATCCTTTCTATTTCTAAGATACAATTGCTTATCTAAATAAAACTCTCCTCTTGAGTTCTGTGAACAGCTGAATGTAGCCGCCGCTATCATAGAATGGTAATATACGGCCGAATTTGTACTCAAATGGAGCAACCATAGACACGACCAAACCAAACAACTTATTTTTAGTAAAAAGGTTCCTACTGTTGATCAGCCTTACCAAATAAGGGCGATAAGACTTCCCATAGAACGACATCCAACGACGGAATTCAGCATCCATATTTGAAGCACAAACAGCCGGATAATCAGCTTTTTCGATACCATAGCAAAACTTTGCATCGCTGCACGCAGCCACTTGCAATACGACCTGACCAACTCCTAGAACAGTTATTGGTTTTAATTCTACGCTTACCGCTTCCAAGATCAATGAAAGAATCATCGGAAGAAATTTTGACGGTTTCTATCATTTCGTAAATTAACTCGAATGAAGTTTCGCCATAAACTTGGGGAGAAAAAGGTGGATATTGATTCAGTTTGTCAGGTTCGACAACCGCACGATTGTAGCACTGAAGCAGTATGAACTGTATGTGCGCCTTCGAGGCTCGCTGATTCAGAAATGATGGTTTAACTTCCGAGTGAGACCACTAGAATAACATGAAGGAGTAATGAAATAGATGAGTCATCTACCTCTGCCAAAAGTTTACTGATTGCGCTATTATACAAGTTGCACAGATTTTGCACTGAATTGTATGAACCCCTGTCTATGTTTTTGATGGCCTCTGACAGTTCCCGAAATTGACGAAGTTCCTCGATATCTTCATATATGAAATAAATGATGTCAACAATCTCCGAGTTTTCATCTCTGATTTCACCGTTCTAAAACCATAGAGCTAAGAAATCGCATACAGACTTTGGAACATGTCCACCTAAATACTTCCGCCTGCGCGCCTGCTGGGCTGAGGATATTCAGCACACGATCCTCGGCCATACGGAGCCCGTGAATTCCAGAATTAATTTGCCATCGGCCCAAATTGCAAATTTCGGGGCTCTCAAAGATGGCGCGCGCACCGCTCAGTTCAGTTCGTTTCAGTTCAGTTCCAGGACAGGACGGGACAGATTACAGGACTTGCGGCGGAGCCAGAAGCAGTCCAGTTTCTTGCACCAATGAGCTTGGGAGCGCCACGGCGCTGCGACAATTGTATTATTTCGTTCACGTAGACGTGGCTGGATGCGGTTCTGGGAAAGGAAAACGTACTTCTGATAGTTCCTCGGAGTGACAGTACACGTCTGAGGTTTTGTCAGGATCAAAGCAACAGCTCGCAA